ATAATTAAACGTGATACGGTAGCACCGAATTATTGACATTCGCTACATTGGTGACCCCGAGTTAAAAATGGAGAAGGATAATATCGAGACGCAAAACTTGACCACCGAGCGCTCACAATCGACGATACCATCTTCGAGTGTTTCGGACTTCGCTTCAGCTATCAACGACAGCTCCCACGGTACCCTATTAGCAACTCGTGCAGTAAAGTTACCACCCTTCTGGAAGGACAATTGTGCGTTGTGGTTCGTGCAAGTGGAGGCTGCGCTCGAAATAGCGCAAATACGAAGCGACATATCGCAGTATCGATACGTGCTGGTGCATCTGGACGAGACTACTCTACCGTTCGTCGCAGACATAATTACATCGCCACCCGTTGACGGTAAGTTCTTGGCGCTGAAGACGCGATTACTCAATACATTTGAAGAGAGTGGGGAAAGTAAACTGCGACGTTTGCTTCACAATACCGAGTTCACTGATGGGAAGCCATCTCACTACCTCCTCCGGCTCAAAAGTTTGGCCGCTGGTATGGTGACCGAAAACATCCTGCGTACGATCTTTCTTGAACAAATGCCGCAGAACGTTCGCAGTATTTTGGCCGTTAACGACACTAGCGGCCTGGATCACCTCGCCGTGCAGGCAGACAAAATTTTTGAGGTACAAAATAGAATAATGTTTGTGTCCGCAAAAACCGTCAACGATGCCGTAACAGGCACCGAATCTCCAAAAACGCCTTCATTCGGTATGGACGAATTATCTGCTCAGCTACAAGCGCTTACCACGGCAGTTAATAAAAACAATAACGATAGGGCAAAAGAGGTTACGAAAGACGTCTGCTATTATCACACACGGTTCGGCGCACAAGCAAAGAAGTGCCGACAGCCTTGCAGTTTCCGAAAAAACACGAATTTAAACTAACACGGCCGTCAGTCATCCTCGTAGGCACTGCTGACGGTCCGTTCAATTCGCGCCTACAAATCACCGATTCAAAAAATCGCCTCAAATTCCTCGTCGACACTGGCGCCGACATATCAGTGTTACCCAGGGGAGTCCTCAATAACATTCGAACAGATTTCAAAAAAACTGAATTTACTCTCTTTGCAGCTAATGGCTCAAAGATACGTACTTACGGTTCACAGCAACTATCGCTCGACATCGGCCTCGGCCGAACATTTAACTGGCAGTTCACAGTCGCAGACGTTGCGCACCCTATACTGGGTGCCGACTTTATCAAACACAATAACTTGCTCGTTGACCTTCGCAATCGCAGACTTCTTGATTCGGACTCAACAGTCAAAACTTCGCGGTCTTCATGTTCACCTGTAAACTGTAACCAGCGACCTGTCACATCGATGCCTGAGACCAAAGTCCTAACACCACATCCATCCGGAGCATCCGCACGGGTTACATCCATCACCTGCAGTAACCCGGTGAAGCGCCTTCTACGGGAATTCGAGGTCGTCACGAAACCGACTGATCAACACACACCTAAACATAGTGTTCAGCACTACATAACTACGCGAGGAACGCCTGTCGCAGAGAGAGAGCCCGTCGCCTCGCAGGTGAAAAACTCACAGCGGCCAAGAATGAATTTGATACCATGTTAAAACAAGGTATCTGCGTTCCGTCTAAGAGCGAATGGGCCAGCCCTTTACACCTTGTTCGAAAAAAAGATGGAACATGGCGCGCCTGTGGGGACTATCGCAAGCTTAATCGAGTTACAGTACCGGACCGATACCCCATTCCGCACCTCCGCGACTTCTCGTATCTGTTGCATGAATGCAGCGTGTTCACAACGCTGGATCTTGCTCGAGCGTACTATCAGATTCCTGTAGCACTCGAAGACCGACCGAAAACAGCCGTAATAACACCGTTTGGCTTATTCGAGTTTAAGGTAATGACTTTCGGACTGTGCAACGCCGCACAGTCATTTCAGCGGTTGATGGATTCCATATTTCGGGATTTGGATTTCTGCCACGTCTACATCGATGACATATTGATAGCATCCAAATCCCTCGAAGAACATAAAAAACACCTGCGCATAGTATTTGAGCGTCTTAAACAACACGGTCTTTCGATCAACGTCAACAAATGTACGTTTGCCCAACAGGAGGTGATATACCTCGGCCATACGATCGATAGCAAAGGACTCAGACCCACCACTGAGCGCATTGAAGCAATGCGTGAATACCCGAACCGCAAACAATCGCCGATCTTCGCCGTTTCTTGGGCTCATGGAATTTTTACAGACTAAACATGCCTCGTGCCGCAGAAATTCACGCTCCGCTAATCGCACTTACCGCGGGGGCAAGTAAAAATGACAAACGCCTCATTGCATGGAATGAGGTAACGTCAAAAGCCTTCGAAGAGTGTAAAAAAGCACTCGTAGACGCTGTCCAGCTGGCATACCCCGCGGCAGACGTTTCTCTAACACTTCGCTGCGATGCCTCGAATCAGTCAGTAGGAGCAGCGCTTGACCAAACGGTCAATGGCGTGTTACAACCATTAGGGTTCTACACGGCTAAGCTCAGTAAACCAGAGCGTAACTATAGCGCCTACGATCGCGAGCTGTTAGCGATTTTCAAAGGCATACGATTCTTTAAACATTTACTCGAGGGCCGTAATGTCACAGTTCTCACCGACCACCGCCCACTTTCGTTCGCCTTGGACCAAAACTCCGACAAGGCTTCGCCTCGGCAACAACGTCAACTTCAATATATCAGCCAGTTTACCAACACGATCATACATACACCGGGTCAAGAAAATATAGTGGCCGACGCACTGTCGCGGATCAACACGATAAATCTGCCCGTAACTGTTTCAGCTAAGGAGATTGAACAGGAACAACGAGAAGACCAGGAGCTACATCATCTTTTGCGTTCAAACTCGACGTCCTTGCAACTACAGAAACTCAAAATCGACGACTCGGACGCAGAGCTATTTTGTGACACATCAACGGGTAAGGTAAGACCATACATACCTACCTCACTACGACGAAAGCTGTTCGAGCAGACGCACAACATCTCACACCCCAATGGACGTGCAACACAGAAGCTCATAAGCCAACAATACGTGTGGCCGCACATGAACCGGGATAACTTGCGCTGGGTTCATAGCTGCCTGCCGTGCCAAAGAAGCAAGGTTCACCGACATGTTAAAAACATACCGCAACACATAGAAATACCAAGCGAACGTTTCAAGCACGTCCACGTCGATATTATCGTCATGCCACTTTGTGACGGATTCAGGTACTGCTTGACGATAATTGATCGCTACACTCGCTGGCCTGAAGCGGTACCTCTCAAAGATATTTACACCGACACAGTGGTTAAAGCATTTTTCAGCAGTTGGGTGAGCCGTTTCGGAGCACCATCATCAGTCACCAGCGACCGGGGCTCCCAATTCGAGTCTAAGCTTTTCAACGCCTTCACCCAACTCATAGGTTGCAACCGAACCCGAACAACTGCCTTCCATCCGGCATCCAACGGTATGGTCGAGCGTTGGCATAGGTCGCTCAAGGCAGCTATCAGGTGCCATGCTTCACCAAACTGGGTAAATACACTTCCGGTGGTGTTGCTCGGTCTTCGCACGAGTTTTAAAGAAGATATCAAGGCCAGTGTCGCTGAAATGCTCTACGGCACTACACTCCGCTTGCCGGGTGCATTCTTTATTGATGTCGAAATGGGTCCGGAACCACAACACTTCGTGGAAGTATTCAGAGAGTTCATGCGTGCAGTGCGATCTTCGCCCACAGCTCATCACAACAGATCTCGAGCGTTTAAAAATACTACTCTACACCTTTGTACTCATGTGTTCGTACGAGTAGATGAAGTTAAAAAACCACTTGAACAGCCGTATCGTGGTCCCTATAAGGTGCTAGAGCGCATAACTGACTTTGTGTTCAAGGTGGACGTCGACGGTAATGCAACCACGATCTCAACAGAAAGACTTAAACCAGCATTTATAGAAGCCGAGCATCAAGGCTTGAGCAACGCGCTCGGAAATCCAACCACACTGCCGTCATCGAGTGGTTCCATGTGGCCAAACAACATGCGCACATACTCCAGAACAGAGCAATGTAAGAATCCGTGACTTCTCATGTGCATTAAAGTCACTCCGGGGGGGCTACTGTGGCCAAACTCTCACTTTTCTAAGGAAGCGGCAACACGTTTTGGCAATTGACAGATTTTCAAAACCAACGAACGGCACGTGAAGCAGAGGATAAGTTTTTTCTGAACGCTTTGGTACATACGCTAGTAATTTAAGTTGTTCTTAGTTTGTAGTAATCTTTGTATTGGATACTCGTTTAATTAAATAAACATAATTAAACGTGATACGGTAGCACCGAATTATTGACATTCGCTACA